AAATTGTAGTGATGTACCAATATGAAAATTTACAATATTCCGATATTAGATTCTGAGTTGTGGCCAATCATGCATTAATTTTGCATATACATTGATAATATCTTTGAGTATGGTTGCATATTGAGTTTACTAAGTTATGTTACATTTAATTGAAATCCATAATATATTGTAAATTTAAAAGAAGTTATATAACTTATTATTTGTAACTTATTATAATACAATATTGGTAATATCGGCAACAGAAATACAGATACCAATATTTTGAATTTGGGGCCGATATACCTATATCAGAGTGAGATATACGTTCTTGAGTGTGAGATATATCATAATTCCCAGACAGTGGTTATATATAACAATATATACATATATATATATATATATATATATATATATATATATATATATATATATATATATATATATATATATATATATATATATATATATATATATATATATATATATATATATATATATATATATATATATTAAGATGAAAATGTTCTAGAGTGTGTATTATATAATTTCCATACCCAGCGCAAGCAGAAAGATGTTGTCTGCCGCGGCTGGGTCTCGAACCCGCAACCTTCGAATTACTAGATCGACGCTCTACCTACTGAGCTACACGGTCAGATGGATTTAAGACTGGAAATTATGAAATATATACTGAATGTCATAAACATACTCGTTTATATTAATTTGGTATCGAACAATACTAGTTCTGCAAGTGTTATGTTAGTTGTGTAATTGTACACTCTGTAATATGTCTATGAAGGTTGTGGGTTCGAGACCCAGCCGCGGCAGACAACATCTTTCTGCTTGCGCTGGGTATGGAAATTATATAATACACACTCTAGAACATTTTCATCTTAATATATATATATATATATATATATATATATATATATATATATAATATATATATATATATATATATAATATATATATATATATATATATATATATATATATATATATATATATATATATATATATATATATATATATATATATATATATATATATATTTTAATAATCGTGTATTTAGTAATTTAGATATTCAATCAGTGCAATTGTCAGAATTAGTATCAAACATAAAATAATGTCTGTGAAAATTTTCTCCGAAAAAATGTCATCCCCCCAAATTTCTGGGAACTAGGTTCCGATACTTTCATTTTCCAATTGCAACCACAAATGGGCCACAATATTCCAAATGAGGTAAAATGCAGAGGGGAATTGATGCCATAAATGTGGCTACATTGCTTCAAAGCTTGTCACAGTAACCGCTAGAAACAGATCATACCTGTTGTTATGCAACCATTGAAATCCGCATAAAGATAATATGTTTCTGCCAACTGACTGTGCGTTGACAAGCCACAAGGTTTACTCAGCTTTTCAATCCATTATCACAGTTGGATTTTGCAACCCCCATAGTTTCATCTGTTGTTGTCATATGTGAATTTTCATTATTAATAGTTCCATGTATTGAAAATACAGTATGGAAATGGTGCCAGCTCAGCAATAAGGTTTTAAGGAAGTTAAGTTCTAATAAAAATCCAGGAATTGAATGTATTATAAAGGCAATATGGCATAGTCAGAATTCTCTGGAAATAGTTTCTGCTCACCTTGGAAATTTTATTGAAAGTTGAAATTTAAACTTCTACTATAAACTCTAAACGAATCTAGTAGCGAGGAAAGCGGAGAATTTTTAAGTATCTATGTGATGTAATCTGTGAATTTTTCTGATAAGTATTTTCATGCTAAGTGTTGCCTTGCAACTGCTCTTTAATATTCACACTCAGAGAGATCGGAATTTACCAGACGTAAACACAAGCGCGCAAAGCATTACCGTGATAGTCATTCTTTAAGAAAGCTTCGGTTTGATAGGTACAACCACTTGAAACTACGCCGATCTTTAATACCTGGGACTATGGAAATATGCAACTTTAAAAAATCGTGTTGTACAAGTATACCACTAAAGAAGAAGCGCGTTTGTTTTTTTTCGAAAATATTGATTCTTGAGGTTTGCAGTTTGTCTGGCAGTTTGCACAACAATAATAGACATCGTATCAAATTGCAATGGAATTTAAATACTGATCGTGTCTGTGTAATGGCGCAAATCATGATTTTCCAAGCTTACCGTTTGCGCTAATTATAGCCTATGGAAGGGAAGGTGAAACTCATTAGTAATAATAACAATCAGCTTTATTACCACAAAATATAAAAGATTATTTACCTAGTTGATTAATGATTATTTAGTACAAATTTAGATAAACGTTACTCAGAATAACTTATAACAATATAACTCATAATCTATGAATGATTATTTAGTACGAATTTAGATAAACGTTACTAAGAATAACTTATAACAATATAACTCAATAACAATATAACTCATAATCTATGAATGATTATTTAGTACGAATTTAGATAAACGTTACTAAGAATAACTTATAACAATATAACTCATAATCTATGCATGATTATTTAGTACGAATTTAGATAAACGTTACTAAGAATAACTTATACAAAACGAGATGAAGAACTTTATTGTTTTCGATTACAGAATTCTTTGTTTGCACATGACATCACTACGTGTCATTAGGCGCCATCTTGGTTGATTTTAAAGTTTTGTCCAGCCGTTTACATCGAAATAGTTGAGTTACTTTAATATTTTGGTTTGAAAACATCTAACTTTCTCATATAACTTTCATTTATACGAGATTGTTACAGCGTAATAATAGCGTATATGAAGCCTGGTTTTTAAGCAGTTGCCTTCAAGCTTCGATAACGTAATTTCGAGCATAGGCAGATGACGTCATTTGTGGCTTTAAGAGAGAAGTAAAACCAATTTTCTAATCTGTTATCATTTGCTACTTGTCCATTGGCATTGACTGCTTGTGTAAAATTGACTATATAAAATTATATTAGTGCTAGTAGGAAATTGCACTTGTTCTCGAAGTATATTTTATTATAAAATAAAGTAATCTATGAATGATTATTTAGTACGAATTTAGATAAACGTTACTAAGAATAACTTATAACAATATAACTCA